TTTCCTGGGTTAAAAAGTAGTCTTATATGCCAGAAAATACAGTAATTAAGGATTTTGGAGGGGAAGGAGACTCATGATGGAAAGCTTTGTATACTGAAAAATGTGGATTTTCTACTATAAACCTTTTGCTTTTATAGCTGGCCAATAGATGTGGGAGTGGAAAGGACAGAACTGTCATCATGCTGGTGGATGGCTGTTGATTTTAGAAAAATCAGAATATATAGCCACTTTAGGGCTATAAGAGGGGAAAATGAAACAAATTGCTTGCAAAATGTGCTGAATTTGAAAACAAGAGCTGTTTGATTTTTTTTTTCCTGGTGTATTTTGGCATTTGTCAAACTGGTCTTGTGGACAATTCCAAGATATGTCAAAATCATGGGTGTGTTTTAGCCACATTTTCCCAGAGTACAGGCAACAGTCACGGATCTGTTTTACAACAGCTCTCAATGATTCTTGCTTGTGCAAAGAACATGTTCTTTTAACTTTTCTGGCAAGTTCTCCTGTTTCACTGGAAATTATGTTTGAAAATGCCACCAAGTTTCAGGAGTGGTCTGTGGGGTTCTTTATAACTGTAGAAAAGCAATTACATTGGAAACTTTGCATGTGGCCTTCTTGTTGATGACCATAAAATAGGGATGGACAGATTCAGTGACTTTCATCAATTACTTGGATGAAAGAATAGGGGGAATGCTTATCAAATTTGCAGATGACACCAAATTAGGAGAAATAGCTCCCCAGAGGACAGGATGGAAATTCAAAATGACCTTCATATATTAGACAACTGGGCCAAAGCAAACAAAATGAATTTCAACATGGAGAAATGTAAGGTACTGCACTTAGGGCAAAAAAATGAAATGCATAGATATAAGATGGGGGACACCCGGCTTAACGAGACTACACGTGAAAGGGATCTAGGAATCTTAGTAGACCACAAGTTGAACATGAGTCAACAGTGTGATGCAGCAGCTAAAAAGGCCAATGCAGTTTTAGGCTGTATTAACAGAAGTATAGTATCTAGATCAAGGGAATTCTGTATTCTGTTTTGGTCAGGCCCCACCTGGAATACTGTGTCCAGTTCTGGGCACCACAATTCAAAAAGGATGTTGAAAAACGAGCGTGTCCAGAGGAGGGTAACTAAAATGGTGAAGGGTCTGTAAACCATACCCTATGAAGAACAACTTAGGGAACTGGGTATGTTTAGCCTAGAGAAGAGACGGTTAAGAGGTGATAGGATAGCCCTGTTTAAATATTTGAAGGGATGTCATATTGAGGAGGGATCTAGCTTGTTTTCTGCTGCTCCAGAGAATAGGACCCAGAACAACAGATGCAAGCTACAGGAAAAGAGATTCCACCTGAACATTAGGAGAAACTTCCTGACAATGAGAGCTGTTCGAAAGTGGAACACATTCCCTCGGAGTATGGTGGAGTCTCCTTCTTTGGAGGTCTTTAAGCAGAGGCTGGATGGCCATCTGTCAGGGATGCTTTGATTTTGAGTTCCTGCATGGCAGGAGGGTTGGACTAGATGGCCCTTGTGGTCTCTTCCAACTCTGTGATTCCCTGGGGAGAGGGGCACTATTCTCACCAACAAAACACCATATTTTGGTGATGTAGCAATGGCAGCAAAGCTACTTCTCATTTCATAATTACTGCTGAAATGCAAGCAGCTTTAAAGGTGGCTTTTTCTTTAAGAACAGCACACAGAAGAATTAATACACCTTGATTTTGTACACTTGCATATTTTATTGTGTAATCCCGCCTTGATCCGTAGGGAGAGGCAGGTAATATAA